TTTGGTTTCAGCTACATCTGCATACTGTACCAGTCCGACTTGTGTTGCATCAGGCCCGATGTTGAAGTCTCCCGCAGTTTTTATGAGGAACCTCCTCATCATGTTAAACTCCTGCAGGTCAACACTGTCGCTACTGTCCAGGATAAACACCAGGTCCAGCTTCACAGGGCAGGTTTGAACTGTAGAAAGAATAATTCGTTAGATGAAGAAAACTATAAAAAAAACTGTAGGGGATGTACTATAAGTGTTGCTAAATGCTATCTAGCAATGTCTTTGAATTCAGACTTTACCTCACAGCTGTACATCCATTTAGCCAACAACACTGTGACAGTAATATAATTATCGAACAAAAGCATTGCCTTACAAGTAATGTTTCTAATAATAATTATGTACAACAATGACTACAACAGTTGAGTGATGACTACAACAGATTAGTGAGTATAGCTATAGCAAGTAAAACACTAGGGCAGTGACAAAGAATATTAATGATTCAGTTAATATTTAAAAAAGTTTATCAGAATATTATCGAATAACAAATACTCTATTCTAATATCTAATATGTCTAATAGCCATGCAGACAGTATATACAGCCTTTATGTACCCGAAGCTTTATAGGAAGTTACAAAACATACATACATGTAGTAGCGTTAGGTTTGTAAAACAAAACATATATGGTGTGTCTACATGGTGTAAGCTGTATTTATTTTACCTGAGGTGGACACAGTCCCATCAATGACTGGGTGACCTCTGATGTCCCCAGACCTGAATCCTGCCACCAGGGCAGTTTGGACAAAAATGCTGGATGGTTGGGAGACAATCAGTGTCACGTCTGCAATGAGACTTGTGGCTGTATTCCTGAAAAAAAATAGTGATATATAAAACGTCAATTACTAAATTTTCAATATACATAAAAATAACGTATCCTGCTCTACGCATGGAAAAGAACATACGTAGTTGGCATACATGTATAGTGTTGATTGAGCATATCTGTCTTGGGACCTAGAGGTAATATAAGAGTTTAAGCAAATGTAGACCTGATATATTGCAACTGAACTGATAAACTTTCAGTTCTTTCATTGAAATAAATGAATATGGTCAACCTGCCATGGGTTGAAGAAATACTAATTAATAGCAGACATCAATTACTGATCATGTTGTGGATTGAATTTGATTATTCTAGCGTTCAACAGTCCCCACTGCCATTTTGTGCTAAAATGAATTGCAGTGTAAGAGATAGTTACCCTGGTCTGAACGCAGTTGGAATAACAGACAGTAATCCTGTGACATTTTCTATCCCAGTCAACTGTAAAAAAAGGCTTTGTTTATTTTCATATAAATTTCCATCAAAGCATTGTAAAATCATAAACCTTTAGGGAAAGGCTAATTTCAAGGCATATCAATTTCATTTATGAGTTTAGAACTCTTCTCCTTAGTTTGTTCAACTGAGGACACTGTCCCCAACCAAAAGCAGCCACATTTATCTAGAGACCAATGTGACATGAAAATTCAATGGTATCCTTGATTATATATTAGAATAAATCAATAACGCTATAAATAATATCAATAATCTATTACTGATCAATAAAGTCACAATGTACCTTTGACTCAAAGATGTTTGTCCAACTGGCAAACACTGCAGAGTTTGGCTGACTTAGCCCAGGTGTGTATGTGTAGTTAACCTCAACCATCACAAACAACGACAGGGAGTCTACAGAAAAGCAATACATTGATTACAACTTTACATGTAACAGTAGGTCAAATAATTTCAGAATATAATGCCATAACACCAGAAGAACTTCAGTCAGACATGATACATGTTGCCATGATGTGTCCATTTCTCAATATATATAGCAGCTCACAAACCTAATTTAATGTTGCAAATGTATACTTGTATAGTTTACGTAATGTAGTGGGCATTGTCCATGCTGCATACATGCAGGTCGGTATACAGTCATTGCATTTACAGTCATCCTTTTATCAATAAAATCATCTGGCACTATGACCATGCAAGTCATTTTTGACAGACCAAAACAAACACAATGGCAATGGTGTCCCACATGTACTCGTACAGTCATTTATTATACCCGCTGCTAACATACGAATATAGCGGTTCCTGTCAAATTTTTATAGTGCACAGATGAAACTAGTTTAACCAAACGAAACTGCACTCTTACCATCATCTCTGACATCTACAGATTCGACTGTCAGATTCCCCAGCTGAGTTGTGGCCGGATTTACAATGCTCATGATGCCAGCTTGAGCGTAAGGGTGAAAAACCAGCCGGAAAATGTAGCTGTATTCCAGAGGTCTGTTGAAAGGTAGTTTTATGGTCAAATTGTTTATAGCTACCAAATACTTGGTTTGGATACAAATTATTCATTCATTTTGTTTCATTTTTTTCTGTTGAAAAATACAACTTAATCAACTAATCATAGCTAAAACCAAATGTCTTTCCATCTTCACAGAAAATTTCATCAACTATTTTCTACTCTAGAGATTAAAGTATGAAATGAAATACTTTCTTCTTATATCTCTATCCATCCTTCGACCATAACATTTGTTTGTGGTTGGACAAACTTTTGCAATGTTCTACCTACCGAATAAGGTTGATTGGTGCCACTGAAAGGATCCCATTCTGGTAGGAAAGTCCGACCTCGTTGAGCTATGGTAAATACCAGATAAATGTCATGTAATTCACAGCATCTTTAATCATACAGATGATAAATAATTATAGCTTCTTGCTTTACAAAATTACTTACCATACTGGTCATTCGATAAAAGCCTACGCAGCGTTTGAGATGTAAGCAAGCAATTAAAAAGTGCAGGACTGGTTTAGACCTAATGTCATCATACCTACGTGCATATAATTAGTACTTCAGTACTATAATTCATTGATTTTTCAATAGTTCTTACCACGGTCTGAAGGCAGAAAAACTGTTGTCGTAAGATGGGGGAGCAGGGCACAGACGTAACATCTAGGGACAAGATTAAATTGGTACTCCTTCCAACTGAAAGAAAGAATTTTTTTAGTTTAGTTTCTAATAGATAGATAATGTCGAACATTATTGTTTAAATATCTACTGTGTACAAGAAAAACGCAGAAATTTAAAGATGATGTCACAATCGTTGCTTGAAAGAAATGTCAACATTTTGGACTGATTTGCAAACTGTGGATTAAAAGCAACAACGCTTTTTAATATAGTTTGGTCACTGTGTAATGGTTGAATGTCACACCAGATAACTAGATTAAGCAAAATCTGGTACATACGTTCACACAGGCGACTTGGAAGGCGGTTGCTGAGATCTTGTAGCTGCCCAAAGTTGCCCAGACTAAAGACGTTGTCCGGAGTTCCTGCGATTGCCAGTAGCTCATTCATGTCCACATTTGATCCGATCCCAACAACATACAAGCTGATGCCAGCCTGCCAGGCTGCCATTGCATGTTTGTCAACGCTGTCAGTCGACATGCCATCTGTTAAGAGAATAGCGACCCGTCTTGCTCCTGGGCGGCCACCGTTTGAAAAGGAGAATCCGTACTGTCTCATTTCGTACAGCGCCAGTCCTGTGGCCGTCCCCCCGCCTTGGTACATGACCACATCTATAGCCTGATTAATCCCATTGATGGATCCGTAGGTGTCCAGAGCAAGTTCTTGAACAACGAAGTGGCTGTACTGAAACACACTTATCTGGGTTTCTGAAGGTCCGATGACGAAGCCTCCTACAACTCTTTTCACAAAGGACTTCATGCGTTGGAAGTTGTCGTAGCCAACACTGCCAGAACCGTCCAGGACAAAAACTACATCCAACTTTGCAGGGCACACTGGTACTGTAGCGGAATAAGGCAGGTTATTCAGAGGATTGCTGATTAATCGTACATAAAGAGTGGTTCCAGTGATTATGGCAAATGCAGCAAATAAAAATTGACTTTTGAATTCCTTGCCCGAAATTTTACCTGAATTTACAGTAACTGTATTATTTCGTCACGATGCAGAATCCAAAACGTAACTAGTGGTATCGTAGAAGAGTAATCAACAAAGCTCAGTTACAGTTAAGATAGCATTGGCTATTGGTAAAGGTGATGGAGTTTTGATTAATCTACATTTATTGCAGTCTATGTCTAAAAGTTGATATAACAGACTTACAATCTGGACTAAGAGTTCCCTGAAGGAACATTGGGGTCGCAGCCACAGAAGCGTTGAAATTGACGAGAACAGCATCGGTGACATTAGCACTCACAGAGGTAACAAAGGACACTAGTGTTGTCGTCGCTGCATATCTGCAGTGAAATAAAAAAGCAAAAACACATAGTTACCAATAAATATTGTTTTGAAGGTTTCTGACGACGATAAGTTGATTTTGTGTAATTCTTACATCAAATCCATGCACATCTAGATGTACTTACGCTTTTGATGATCACAAAGATAATATGCTCAGAGAAACGATTAGAACTCGAGAAAGGGAAACTATATTAATTCCTTTCTACATAAATTTGCATTCTATAAAACACAATCATTAAAACGCCGTATAGTTTTCTATAAATAGGTTTTTGAATCAGGCTCTTGTTGTTGAATGCTCAACAGTGTTAACTTTTTCATTGTATAAGCTTAGCCTTTATCAAAGATTCTGATAAAGCATACCCAGGGGAGATGCTGGTGACCCTAGCAAAGTTGACGCTGGTCGCAAAGCTTTGCAGTAACTGTGAAATGTAATAGACATACAGTAATCAATTTATCTGAATAATGATAAAAACGTGTACAACACTTACACATATCATAATCGTCATCTTCATCATTTAGGGTATTAGTTTTTCTAATAGAGCATTCCAAAAAAAGCCCTTTTACGCAACAGTTCAGTACGTGTATTACCATAGAGAAAGACAGCATAGTTGAAAATTGAATTTTTATGCTTGAAAAATATACGCAGCCCCAATGACCTATGTGATCTAGTTCAGATTTTCATTTTTCTTCCATGTGAACAAATTAAACGTTGGCCATCATAGTTCAATCATAGTGGACATAGAAATAGTGAAATATGTTTACCTGGTATGTAAAAGTGATACGTAGTACCGCAGCCTCATAGCTGGAGATGCTTCGCAGCTCTGATGTGAATGTTCTGTTCACCTCCACAATGCCATAGAGAACTCCAGGATCTAACCATGAATAGGAAAAAGACATTGCAATTATTCATTTAGCATATATAGCAGCTTTCCCGTAAAGGTTATTCTTTTATTCTGTTATCATTATGCTGTTCTGTTATTCATAACATATGTGCAGCTTCGTAAATGATTGTGTTGATTGCTTCGCTGATTGTAAAATACGTTTAGGGAACATTACCGTTGTCAATATTAATACATACAAGTTTGAAGTTGAATTTAGCGAAGTTGTAATACATTGCACTGTTCAGCAGAATTAGGGTTCTTGTGTTCTTATCAATCACACCAAGAATTGTTGCTATACTTCCCAATCATTTATTTAGGATCCATTTATAAAATAACAAAAATACATCTAAATGAACATCCAGTAGTCTTGCTATATAAACAGAATGCATATCTAGTAGCTGTACAAAGTTGTTATTACCGTGGGCATCAAAAGTAACAGCAGTGATAGTCACATTGCCAAAGGTTCGAGATGATGCTACTTGGTTGATGATGACTTGAAGCTCATTGACAATGTATCCCAGACAGTTCATAGTGAAAACCACTCTGACTTTGTTGCTTAGACTATGGGGAGTAAACACATTTGGTTTAACCAATTACAATATAGTTCGTATCTTAAACTTAATTTTAAATAATATTTGAAAATGATGTCTACGTGAAAATCTTGGAAACTTTAAGTTGTCAAAGGTTTTATATTCACACCTTGGCTGGAAATTGATGTTAACAGTGACGAGGTTGGCAAAACGTCCAAGCACAAAATTCAGCTGCAACAAAAGGCAAGTAACAATATAAAAATTTGAATAATGATAACATATATGAGTGATACATATTATACATATGAGAACATGAGTGGTAGATATTCAATTTACATTCAGGTAACCAATTGTTGCAAAGTAAGCAATGCTCTAGCGGCTAGCTCAACAATTCTGAACTTTGTTTTGAAGCTCACTCACTGTACAGTACATCTTTATTTGTAAAATCATGCCCGAAGGCTAATTTCTTTTACACAGTGAGAGATACTATACGGTACAATGCAATAATAGGGAGCAGACAACTATTGTTTGGAAAAACTTAAACTATACTTATACTACTATGATTGCTTTTATGAGGTTTGACTTCTTCTCTTCTTTGAAGGAAGTGAGTGGGTAATGAATAGTCCTGCGTTATGCATAATGAGTGGGTTTTGTGTTCTTAGCAGGAACACAGTCCTTTGGTATAATGCATTACCTGATTAAGAAATGTTGCTCGAAGGGTGATGAAGGACGCTGATGTTACATTCAACAACTGGATACTGAAGTCCTGGTCCAGATCTACAGTGGCCACGCTTACCACACTGCTGCCATCTGATTGTGACAATCATAAAATCAGCAAAAGATTAGTGACCCCGTCCCTTGTAAACATACACTGTGTCCCGTATGATATTGGAATAAATCAACATTGTCACATCAATTAAAGTTTGGGAGAGGCACACAAACAAGTTTCACACATGAAGGAAAGCAAAATGTTCAAGTTTCGGGATTTTTTAATGCATCAAACTGGATAACTCAATATACATGAATAAACATGTTGCATCATTGTTTACATTTATCATTCTTCTGAAACACAATAGGAATATTAGAGCTGGAGGGATGTAAGAAACTGGTGTCCTGCTCAGTGCGAACTCTTAGAATTTAGTTTTTTTTATTATTCCAACATGTAATAACCAGACTTGGTGACGGCACACTCAAGTTTTTTTTCAACTTATATTAATGCCGCCACCAAAACAGGGGACAAATACATGACAGGACAATACTCATTTTCACCTGAGCGAAGTGAGGAAAGTCGTGTAAAGTGCCTTTCCCAAGGGCACAAGATCGGTGGCATGTCAGGACTCGAACCCGGGACCTCTCGATTCCGAGTCGCGCACTCTGCCGCAACGCCACACAACCCCACACGAATTTAGTTATAAGAGCGTTTCTCAAGAACAATGTTGTTTTCTCATTTAGATAGAAACAAGGGAGGAAAGTAAAGAAATGTAGGCAGTTCTTTACCATCACAGAATCTGTTTGCTAGACTTCCCGTCATAGTTAGCAAGGAGTCATAGTTCGATGCACCGAAAACTCTGTCTGGAGAACTAGCGAGCTGTTGCAGTTCTGACTGGTCAGTTCCAGTACCAACACCCATGGTGTAGACGATGATTCCAACAGCCTTGACGTCCTGTACAGCCCTGGTGATGGGCTGGGTGGACATCCCATCAGTGATGACGACTGCAACCTTGCTGGCAGTAGGCCGCCCACCATTCTGGACGCTAAACGGTCAAACATGTATATGAATTTTTTGCGATCCCCAAAACAGTTAGTATATACGCTTAGCTGGTCCCTGTCTGGATAAAACACAAGCTAAGATAGGATGTAGAGAAGGTATCACGTTTGGCGGGGCCTAGGACCATAACCATTTAATTGCTTAAGGAATAAAACATAAAGTTGCACTCAAGGTCAATGTAAATATGTATAAATCGCATTATGCTGACAGCGTACAGAAAGGTAAATCTCCATGAGATTTGACTATCAGTTGGATGGGATTTTATATGTGGTCACGGAAAAACAAATTTAAGGAACACCTGTTGTGTAACAGTTCCATGTAAGCTATTGGCATGCTACGGTTTCTCCAATATTTCCTACTGGATATTTTCCCATTCTGTGCATATTGGTTTGATTTCAAATTACACGTATCACAGTTTAGTTACATGAATAAGATCTGGTACTCTCAGTCCCGGTGGGCAATAAAATAAAGCACAATCTTCTTGACCACCCTACAAGTAGAACATAGGGCTAACTCAATGGGATTAAGTACCTGAATGCATTGTTAACCAGTTCATAGAGGGCCAGGTGAGTATTGGTACCTCCACCCTTGTAAATCATGTCATCAACTGCCGTGTTGATGTCTTCCAAGGTGTCATAAGAATTCAGACTGAAGACGGTTGTTACATCAGTAGAATACTGGAGGATGCCAAGCCTTAAGGAAAGAAATATCAGCATTGATAGCATAAAATGGTTTCATAACTCTTTCTTAAATAAGAAAACAGTTATTTTAAACCCCTTCGCATTTCAATAGCAAATAATTAATCTATTTATTATTTATTTATTTATTTATTTCGGTGTTCACTACTAGAGGAGTGTGAATTAGCATAGCACTCCTTAGCACTCATGTTACTCATTAGCATATCACTGCTTTACAGAGTGGCCCTGGGTACATAAATACAAGACAATAGATACAAGAAAATATATACAAGCCAATAATATAAACAGGACATCAATCATATGTGTCACATTTTTCTGCTGATATTACCTTGTTGCTCCTTGTCCAAAGTCAAATTGAGTAGTAAGCCTCTTTACAAATTCCTTTAACGTGTTGAAGTTATCAGCCCCAACACTGCCCGAGTCATCAAGTACAAGCACCAGGTCCATCTCCACTCCACATCGGGGAGCTGTAACATGGTTTGGAACACAAAATCAGAGATTTCAAACTTCCAGGGTATATGCAATGTTACAGTAGTAGTATAGATGCATCATAGATTATTTCATTATATCAGATATGATTGTATGAAAAAAACTCGCTATAATTACACAACAGTTTATGTTTCATATATTCCTGGGAAGTGCATCCTGGCCTTGGGCCCAGAGCATACTCTGTGTCCGGCCGGTCACTTTGGAACCCAGGCAGTAGCGATACATCAAATCTATTACAATTCACAAGAACAGTACATGTGGAGCGTGGCAAACATAAGATACCTGCCAGAAGACCAAGGCAATAAATACACACGGCCAATCTAAAAAGATAATGGCTATATATTCTGCCATTGCATCACCATGCAAATCACATCTCTATTCATTAATACATTGCACAATTCAGACAGTCATTCTATCTACAACAGTGCAAAATGAGTACTAAAAGGCAAAAGGATTATAACGTTTTATCCATCACTTACTACCAGCGTTTGAAGGACACAATTCACTGAACTGAAAACTTACCATCGATGGATAGATAGCCCGAACCGGCGAGGATATCCAGAGTTCCAACCATCTGATTTGAATCAGTAACATTCAGGTAGGTGGAGACAATGTTTGACACAGCTGTTTGAGCACAGTTCATCTGGAAATCAACCCAGGTTGTTGTAGCCGTGGTGCTGAAAATAGAACGGTTATACGTTAATTACGAAGTTAGATAAAAGCCAGTTTTTTTTCAACCAATGTGTTAAGATGGATTTATTTGTAAGCACCAGTTTAATTTTTTTGTGATCGTCCATTTTCCCAGTAAAAAGATTATCATGGTTTAACTTAAATAAAATAACTTACCCAGGCTTGATGTTTGTAACTGCCAGTGATCGAACTCCGTAGAGGCTACCAAAAATGCGGAGTACCTGCAAAATAGATTTTTGGTTACTGCACCCGCATAGATATCTCTCAGGAATGCTGTAGTCCACCTTAAACAAACCCCAGCATATAAATTATATGTTTATGTAACGTTAGTCTATGTGTGGACTAGAGGGAGATGGTCTGGGACCGGGAACCCCCGACCTGATGATGCCTACTATGAGTATTAATGACACATTTATTCAGTTTAACAATTGCATTCATTTATTTTTTTTCTGTGTCCGGCATTCAAAATGGTGATCTGATAAAGAGAAAGGTAGCCATACTCACATTTAGTTTTACACTGCTGGCTAATATTCTATATGATGTTGAAAACTGGTCTCTGTAGCTCTGCATGAATACTGTGCGGACTTCAATGTACCCAAACAGAAGCTGGTTAGCTACAGTGACGAAAAATAAACGTGTCATGAAGTTAATTTATCCTATTTAATTTAGTAAAACTAGTATTTATATCTTTTCGGTACTTTTCAACATTCATTTTCTTACTTAGATTTATTTTGGCTGCTTTTTGAGTTCCTGCACTAAATGTGAACAGAACAAGGTATCCATTAAAAGATAGTTTCCGGGGCTCGTTGAAAATCAGTGACTACGCCACACAATGGCTACAGAACACAGAAATTAACAACTTATCATTTCAAAATGTGATATGAAGTGTAAGTGTAGTAACTATTGACTGTTTCAAAGAAGTGCCTACAGTGTAGGGACTACAGCAGGTATACATTAGCCTTACCAATCTGGTCATATGTGATAGTTGCTGTGTCAAAGTTGTAGGAACCAAACTGTCCGGCCGCTGTGATGTTGAAGACCCTCTGCTGAATGGCATCCAAAGCATAGGCCCCGGCAATCACCCGGATATTGGCGCGTGTGCTATACTGTGGTCTGTTACATCATGGCGAAAACATAGCGAAATCATAATAAGACAGCACATTCTTTCTCATAAAATTTGACAGCAAATAATGTGCCACTCAACGTAATGGATAAATCAGAACTGAAATGTAAACATTAGTACATAACATACCCTGGGATGAGGTTGACAACTTGTACTGCTTGGAAACCAAAAACCGATTGCAGGCCTGTCAAGAACTGCATAGAAAGAAAGTACAGTGATATCCATGATTTCAAACCCCGGAAAAGAACATTGTTGATTTGATTTGATGTATTAGGCTGAATAAGACATATATACACAGCCAGGACTGCTCAACTAGCCGGAGGCTATTATAAAGCGCTAGCCCTCACAACAAGAACATAAACAATTCGGAACAGATTCATGTTCGAGTTATCACGCAATGATTGAGGTCCATTGCTTTAAACTCATTTTTCAAGAACTATCGTAGGGTAGAACTCGCTTCCATCACATGACGCTTACTTACATTTAGATGTGGGTAAGATGTAACAGGCAAAAACTAGAGAGGCCGACATTTGCTTGGGAGCAAATACAGCATATTTCAGTCCATCTCCCTCCCACGCAAAAGTGGACTATTCCAAACTTACCCCAGTGTAAAACTGGCAAAGATTCTCAAATAAATGAATTATATAGTAGTTATGTAATTGAGAACAAAGATGTAAGAACAAGCACATTGAATCTCGAAAGCTTTACTAATCTTATTACAGGTATGCAAATACTAACAATGATGAGATTTGATACATTTTGAAGGTCTTAGGCACATAAAATTGAATGTGTGGGTCATTACACACGACTTACGTGCAATCCCAGGTAACCCGCAATGGAACACGTGTTCCATGGCCAACGGCAGATGGAACGGGGCATTCTTTAGATAGAACATGGAACGGGTATAGCACTTTTGGCCCTTTTTTTGCTGAAAATAGCCATTAAAGTCCCCCAAATGAGTCATTTGGAAGTGGTGTATGCCAAATATGTGACTGTTATTCTGTAGACACATGTTCAAGGTACCCTTATACCGAATTTCAGATCATTTGGTTGTAAAACCAGGGCTCAGGATCCAAAATTCCATTTTTTGGCGAAAAATGCCCCAAAAAAACCTTCATAAAAATTTTTCAAAGGCATGTATCAAAAAAATGAAAAAAAAAAAACGCCTGGGGGTATTGGCCCACTCTACCTCTATGCCAAATTTCAGGTCATTTGGCTAAAAAATGACAGAGTTGAATCCCTTTGACTGTGTGGCAGGAGAAGGAGGAGAAGGAGGAGGAGAAGAAACATGAGAGAACACAATATATTTCATCCATACCATGGTATGGACTGAAATATAAAAACATGCAAAAGCTATAACTGCAAGGAAAATCATTTGAAACAGGATTTTTCGTATATAATCATACAGCAATACACGCAGCATACCTTGTTATGTTACGATAGGAATAGAAATATAACATACTGTGGTTCTAACTGCAAGGTTGATAGCGGTAAATCCTGGGGAAACTGTAGTTAGGAACTCTGTGGTGTAGTTCACATCCAAGGTCACAGTCAGGTAGCTGGTCACTCCAACTGTCAAAAGTACACACATACACAATCTTGAATACAAGAAAGAACAAGAATATCTCCCATCTATTATTCTTCGTTTACATTTCACAGGATCTAAAAGCATATAAATTTATGTATGTATTTGTAAACAATCACATTCACCAAATTGTACATTGCAGTTTTTAAAAGCAATCTTTTACAGAATTTCCAGAACTGCTCAAATTATCAGCCACAAAAAATTGCAACATCTTAATTTTGAAGAATTTAGAATTTTATAAAGAAATACCTTCACACAGTCGCTTTGGAATCCGGTTGCCGAGATCTACCAGTCCGTATGAGTCACTTACACGGAACACATAGTTACTAGACGGACTGACTGTGCCTTCTAAGGAGGCCAGGTCAGCAGCATCACCGAGGGCGATGGTGAATGCAACGACATCGTTTTCAGATGTACGTTGGAAGTCGTCCGTATTGGACACCCCATCAGTGAAAATAACTGCCAGTCTGTGAAACAGTAATATAATATACTTACATTTACAACATACATTTGAGCAGAATATTTTTTCAAACTACAGCCTCCTTTGAAGATTATTCATTTTATGATAATCACATGTAGACTAAATTACATACACATGATAAAATTTCATACACGCATATGTTGCCTCTTGCCTCAGTAATTGCCGTAAGTAATTAGATTAAAGACGACTTTCTATACTAACCGATATTATGCTAGTCATAAAGGAAAAAGGACATTTTTCATGTATTCACCATTTGTTTTTGCCATTATTGGCCACAGCCATCTACATTGTACATGTAAAAAGCTCATTCATCCTACCTGTTCACTCCAGTTCTTCCCCCATTCTCCTGTGTAAAAGCACCAAGATGACTAAAACTCCTGCCCTGTCCTGGCATGTCCGTCTGCTCTATGGCATCAAGGCCCTGTAAGAGTTCTGGTAGGCTTTGGAACTGGTTTAGTGGAAACTCTAGCCGTGGTGTGCTGCCTCCCTGTACCACAGACACTAGGGTTGCTTCAGGTCCAATGGTGAAACTCTGCACAACTCTCCTGATGAAGGCCACTATGGCCGTGAAGGTGTTGGCGGACACAGTTCCATCAATAGCAAAAACGAGATCTGTTGGCACGGTGCATGAAGGAACTAAAAAAAGGATTCAGATCATTAGAGGAGTGTTCGTGTCCAGAACAGAATAGGGGTAGAAATTACAAACATGAAAGAAGAAATTAATACTCAAGTTGCTATTTTTTGTACTCTATGGACTAAGGTGCTAATATCATGAACATGTGTGCAACTTGGTGCAAGTACATTTTGTGTGGTGCAACTAATTTTTTGCCGGTATGCACGGCGGTGCAAGTTTGCTTTATCCGCTGTTACTACCTGTAATGAACCTCCTGCATAATGCAGATTGGTGCAAGTAAAATTAAGTGCATTGCCAGGTATATCTGATGTCTACCTGCACCAAATCCGCACCAGGTCCACCCTCAAACAGTTGTTTGATTAAGGACGGAAAGATAGAGATGCAAAATGAGTGGTGAAGGTAACATTTCTCTGGTGCGTACGATTTTGAATACCCGAAACAGCATATGGAGAAAATGAGTTCTAGCCCTGCATGGAACAATTACTACACACACCAAGACTTGTATCCAAGTCTTTCAGTTACAATAATTTGCATAATAATAATCGCCTTTTCTTCAAAACTTCAATATGGTGACAACAATGTACTATTTGCGGATCAAATGCCCCGACTGCCCACTGTAATGCCATCTTCACATCATCCTTTACCTCTGGGTGTTAGCGTTATCCCGGTATCATTGATGACAGCTAGGTTGTTGACAGTTCCCATAGCAATAGCATCTTGAAGGGCCATCTCTTGATACATGACTTGACTTGCAGAGGAAACGAAGGACACCTCTGCTGCAGTGTAGGCACCCCTACGTGGTGATGTAAACAAACATCAAGTGTCACTGATAAAGAAGTGGATGCTAGTTAAAACGTCTAACAGTTTTCACCATCTATCGAATTGTCTAAACATCAAGTTTGATACTTTCACCCGCAAAAATTTTAACGTTCTTGCTTGACACAAGAAATGTAACTATAGCTCAACTCTTACAATAGTTGTAGGCTCATACGATTTACATTTTTTAAAATTTTTACAGCTGGACTGACCACTTGATGTGCATAACGTGCTTAACTGGCTTTTGCAATAAATATAGTTGGATATCTGACATAGGAATGGTGTCCGTGAATAACTGTCAGTATTCGGATTGACATCCTTTTTTATCAGAATCTTCATCCTTATTTCTACATTTTGCTCTATCTCTAGTTCTTAGGGGTGGCTAAGCTATTGAATACTTACAAAGACTTGATGTCTGTAACTTGCAGACCATACAGTCCCCTAAAGTCTGGTCTCGTGCTGTAGTAGTTTAGAACCTAATAGGCGACAAATAATCAAACATTTAATAATAACAAAATATTGACAAAAATCACGTAGCTTGACACAATTACAGGATAAGTAACTCATAACATAACAACTGGAACAAATATGAAGATATGAGAGTCTGAAAAATACAATTATTTAGGAGTGTCTGATAGCAGTGTTCTATATGAAGAAATATACAAACAACTAGAAATGAAACATTTGCAAAGCAAATGCATAATGTTTACCTTCGCATATGGTCTGCTCTGTTAATTCTTACTTAAATACATTTATATATATGGTCAGACAGGAGTATAAATCCCTTCTACTATAAAATTGCAACATTATGTAACCCAACAAAAGTTACCATGGTGAGATGTATCAACAAATAGGGTCATTGGCCAGGTCAGAGGTCAGTGTTTGGAACAGAAGAAGAAGAAACGTAGCAAAAACAATATGTTTTCTCTCGGTAAACATAAATATGTAATAACTAATTTGCTTACATTAGTTTCCACGGTGACAGCCAGTGCTGTCTTGCCTCGTGTGTCCACCAGGCTCTCTGTGAAAGTCTCTTGCAGCGGCAGCAGTGTGTAGCTTGTAGTGACAACTAAAGATGTTAATTAGAATGATCAGTGCAGGTCAGAATAAGAAGTTAAAATTTACAATAATATTTTAACAACAAAAAGCAGGGATTACAGAAAATTATAAACTAGAAACTATACGTATACACTTTGTATAATTATGTGGCTCAACAAATTACAAGACATAGCATGCAACTTCAAACAAATTAAAAGATAAAAGCCAAAGCTATTTGTCACTTTTCTCACTTGGGAAGTCATTAGAAAACAAAATATATATTCCTCAGAAAATAATATAACAAGTTTTTATAAGTGCTCGGACTATTTTTACCCTAGCTTTATACAAACCTTCTTGTCCAAAAAACTGCAGTTCACACACTTGAGGGTTTTCCAATCCAGAATGAGTTTCAGAAACGTGCAGCCTCCAGTGTTGACCAGTTGCTGAGAAACCTCCAAAACTTATTGGGCCATTCAGCGTTTCTGTTATTGCAAGTGTCTTGACATCTGTCCAGTTGCCACCTGGGCCGTGACGAACTTGTAGCATGACCGATTTTGGGACAAAGTCTGATGGCATCGTACCAGTGAAACGAATCTTTTCCAAGGAAACAATATTATGAAGCATGTATTAGAGTTTTGTTGGCACATTGTCTGTTGTTACATGTGTACAGTGCACCATACAAAGCTTACTGTTTGACAGAGCTTTACTCTACTCGTGTAACTAGTCTTGTCAATACAAAGAAATGACCTGAGAAATTGTAGTTTTGACAGTTTTGTCTCCTCCCTTGCTTTCTGTCAACACTACAGGTAATGGTATTTACAGATTTGATTAAGTTCCTGGTGTAATAGTATAACTATACTATTCCATTTAGCACATATCAGAAATAACATAATTGTTATGCAATAAAGAACACCATTAAGGTAAATTATGTATGACTGTATAAACTGGTACTGTAAAAGATCCTGCCAGACGAACTGTTATTAAACAAGAAGATACCTGGAAGATGGTATGTGGACTGCCGAGTTGGAAAGTTAGGTACGGGGTTCCACTGCCAGGATCCCAGCAGGTCGAGTTGTCACCATCCAGGGTAAGGTTTCCTGCAGTCTCCCAGGCCGTATCCTCCTCTACAACCCAGCCTGGGTCACCGAGTAACCACGTGGGACCATCCAGTCCACCTAAGCCTAAGAATAAGGTTTGCTTCAGTACTATGCAAAATGAGTGAAACTCTTTAAGAACAAAACAATATTATTGTGATACTGGTACATTAGCTTTCCATCCCACTTTACATGATAGACAGTACTAGTGCAAAATTGCAAAAAGAAACAGATCTCGCAGTCATTACATACAGCAGCTATCATATGATGGCAGTTTGTATAACTTTCGAAATCAATCACTGTATAGAAGACATCCAAACATGTTAAACTGAACACATTTTTGCTTCAAAATCTACAGAACTGCGTCTGTCCTTGGTGCTGAAAGCCATTTGTGGTAACAATGAAGAGGCAGTTTCTACAGTAACTGTTGACAATGCGCAAAATTTGGAGAAATAACAAATAGTCAAAACAAATTATGACACAATGTATTCTTTTTGTTATCTGGAAAAGGTAAGAAGGATTTCAAAAGTCTTACTGATATCACAAGAGAAGCCTGAGAAGCCTGTGTCACAGCGGCACTGGTATCCTCCTCTGGTCTCTTCACAGACACCATTGCTGCACGGGTTTCTATCACACTAAAGAAACAAATGGAAGAAAATAATTCAACGAACTAGAGAACGAAACTTTGAATGTCATCATTAGCCACTTGCTAGTCAACATTAGCAAGTGGCAATACAATAAGGGTAGACCAAAGCTAATATACAGTCTAAAGTGTTATTATCGTGATATTGCCTTTCACAGCAGAGTAGAACTTATTATCTAGTTCAAAAGAATGACATGTATGTTTGTAGTGTAATAAAGAAATTGAAAAAAAAAGATTGATGGTACTTGACCATTTACTTTAACCATTCATAACAAGTATGCTGTTAGCTAAAAGTAGAAAATCATGTAAAAATGTTCAGACATTGTATTAGCATGCCTTTGTAGAAGTTACACACTTTAAACATAATGGGGGTAGATAGAGGAGTAGGTTAGACCTTACAGGATTAATTGACATGTCAGCCTCATCAATAGTCCCATCCATGTCATCATCAATGCCATTGGGCAGCTCTTCATCAAAGAGACCATCACAGTCATTGTCCTTGCCATCTCCTGCTGTACCATTGTCTCGGTCACACATTGTCAGTGGTGCCAGATGGTATCCAGCTGCAAGACAGATGAAAAAAAAGAAATGGCAAATTTGGGACGAAGTCGAAACCAGTGCCATGAAAAACAGTACATCCATTGCCAGATGTTATAAGTTGCATTGAGCTGTCACTTGGATCGAAGTGTATTACATTAAAAAATTATATCTAATATCATGCTGTTGGGAAAATGTACTACAGACCTCAAAATTATGAACACAAAACAGGCTTTGACTCCTGTCAGTAATATCTCATTAAAAACTATATTTTGACAAAACAAAACAACAAAACAGAAAAAGGACGACTGATATTTTTCAAGTTTCTCAGAAATGACGTCATGTAATTCATTTTCCTGACAGAAAACTATGCTGAAAAGAAAACGGAACCTGAAAAAGATCCTGATGGAAAGTTTGTATCCTCAGTTTGTACCTTAAAAATTGGAGTGGCTGTACTTTGAAAGGTAATGATACATGTAGTAAGATCAGAAACAAGCTCAAAGTCTTACATCAATAGTTTTATCAGGTTGGTAACTGAGTAAAGAGACTCTTTTTACACAACCAAGTGTTTCAGTGACCGCCTGAGGAAAGTGAGAGACGGTCACTGAAACGTCGGCAAAGTGTTGGATGTGTGAAAAAGAGTCTACTTACTCAAGCCCAAGGTCTTCACTAACAGTGTACTGTACCTGGAACAGCAAAACTGGACCCATCAGCTGCCCTTGCCCAGACATAAGCTCCAAACCTGGCCAGTGGACTGACGTGCCAGACCCGGGCCGTGCCTGGGGAGATCTGCATCATGACCCAGGACAGGTCAGAGTTGGGAATGGTCCTCCACACAGTACCCAGGGGGAATCGTCCACCTGATAGAATGTTTATTCATGTAAGACTGCAGTAAGCTGCTTAGGTAACCAATGAAAAAACGTTTAGAAATGTACTTTTTCCATACCCATTAGATTTTTGGCGTAAGTACCTTAGGACTCAGATTTTACAAAGTCAAATCCCTCCCACACCATTCATCGTGCATTATAAAATAACGGTATCGCCCATCGCCATTAATGTTCTTTTAAGCCATGTGCCACACAACTTTGTGCAATCACTACAGATAGGGGGCTAGATAACTGGTAGTGATGCATGTTCCCAATACTGAATGGTTGGCATGTTTTTAAAAACATTTCTTAAAGCTGTTTAGTGCTCTGATATCTGAGAAATGAAATGCGTGTAAATTAATATAATACTAAGTAGAGAGAGTTGACCTATGGATATCTGATTGTTTCTATGTCATTGTCAATTCATATATCATATTCTATATCGTTATCATTGACTATTCAACATGACATCATTTGAATGTCCATAAGTAAATCACCTTCAACACTAAATAGAGAGTGTTGACCTATAGATATCTGATTGTTTCCATATCATTGCCATGAGTAACTATTCAACATGACATCATTTGAATGTCCATAAGTAAATCACCTTCAATACTAAATAGAGAGTGTTGACCTATAGATATCTGATTGTTTCCATATCATTGCCATGAGTAACTATTCAACATGACATCATTTGAATGTCCATAAGTAAATCACCTTCAACACTAAATAGAGAGTGTTGACCTATAGATATCTGATTGTTTCCATATCATTGCCATGAGTAACTATTCAACATGACATCATTTGTCCGTAAGTACTAAATCACCTTCAAACCGAAGACCGCTGATGTCCGCACTTCTGACGAAGAGGACTAGATAGTGTATACTGGAGACTCCTGGGAGTTCCAAAGTTGTAAGACTGTATGTCGAGGCCCACTGCTCAGTGGGGGACAAGGTCTACAAATAGATATTAAACAAAAACAAAGTTTTAATGTTGAGTTGATATTGCAAAACAAAACTCATTGTAATTCAGAGCTTTTCAGTCATCATTTTTGTCGCATATTCTTTGCTTGCGACAATCTGCAAGATAATATCATATTGAGAACGCTACTAGTAATGTGACTGTCCACACAGAATATATTATCTTTAATTAAAAAATGCAAGTACCCGTCCCAGTCCAGTGATATATTGCTAATACTGTGAAAATTATTTTTTACAAAGAAACAACTGCTCGAAGTTGTGCAGCATGCGAAATATATCAAAACCAAATACCCATAGCAAGCAAGCCAGGGTAAAACATGTATCAAAAGTTAACTATTTACCAGCATGGTAGGTCCAATTTGAATGTTGTTCACTGATCTTCCCTTCTGGAACACCACAACCTGAATCGGCTGTGTGGATGTCATTATGAGGTACTGTTCAGACGTCAATTCAAACTCCCACGTGGATTGGACGTCAATGTTCTGAGACATTCCATTGGTAAGGGTGACTGTGGTGAATTCAAAGGCTGCTGTCACTCTAGCAACAGAAAATATAAGGTAAATTGGTGATTCTGAAGAAATTTGCAATTGGACTGAATGAATACAAATCTGTGAACATTTTACTTTTCATTCTCATTGACAAAGTTAAAAAGTTAAGTTAAATTGTCATATAACACACTCATCAACACTCATTAAAGACGAACTGAAAGTGCAAACGGTCACAAACAGGACTATACAGAACTGGTAGTAAATTTAAGAATGTATATATGTGCATATTGTGTACTCGAATCCAATGTAATGTGCATTGTCACAATTTTATTACGCTACCTACTACGCTAAAAAATGTGTCTCCCCTCCTCTCCTGACACACACACACGCCAATAAAAACACAGAGAGAGAGAGAGAGAGAGAGAGAGAGCGCTGTAGTCACTAAAACTACTAGGTACAGATTAATCTTTCTTACAATGGTTAGGACAACAAATATCATTTGATATGCATAGCGAAATAATGCATCCATACCTGAAGACATTCACTTGAGTAGCATGTATGATGAAGGTCCGTCCCCAGCTACTGACTGGCAACAGTTGCTGCTGGATGTGTCCTCCTGGAGGGCTTCCTGGGAACTCGGCAAACTGGTTACCAGCGTACACTGCAATGGGCTTGTCCGATGTGATGTACGTTCCTGTCAATGGAAACGTTTCCGTAGTAAGTTACTTCTTTACATTATGTCATGGCATAAATCATGCTGGTCAGGGACAAGATGGTAATTGCTGGTTGGGTAACGTATGATGGCGATTTATGACACAACTAGTCACCTTGGTGGCTTTGAATTGGACTAATGCTAATTAGACTCAGTGTCATTAGCAGTGTGTCATTAGCTCTTTCTAACAAAATGGGACACATTGTAAATAGTATATAGTTAGCGGCTGAGTGCGGTTAAGAATTATGTCACTTCTTGTAGCATTCGATCGGTCTTTCCCTACTGACATCTGCTTGGTTTTCGTTCTTTCATATGGTAATGTATTCGACACCCAACCATGGGACGAAAAAAAAACACAAACATGATACTCAGGGGCCACAAAGTTATCAATTGTGACTGTTCAGCGATTTTACTAGACCTCAGAACATACCACTTAGATCCTCTTCATCCTCTATCTGTATGGCACCGATGGTACTGGGCCCAATGGTAAGAGAAAGAGGTTCTCCTCGGTTAATAGTAAGACCAGAGTACTCGATTGTCACCATTGGTCTGATGACGATGTTGGTGTTATTTTCTGTAGCTGCGACAGTGAACTGGCAAAGATAGCCATTCCTTGGTGTGTACATCACAGTCAGGTATTCTGTGCCAAGACTGGACTTAGGGAGGACGATGTATGGCTGGATGGTGTTGAGCTCTTTCACAAGTCCGTACAAAGTAACAGGGGCCTCGGTTGATGTCACGGAGATGACTCGGTCAGAGTGCGGTTCACTTCCGTACATCACCAGACTACTTGGAACCTCTACCATGGACACCTGGCTCCCAGAGACTGTCACGGTGGTCTATACAGGGGAGAAAATTGGGATACAGATTGTTAGTAGGTAGATTTCATTCGCCAATAAGTGTTATTGTGTGTGGATGGCATTCGGCACCATCAGTTCTGAGGACATCTAAATATCTCACAGAATTTGTACCACATTAACCAAATTAAATGTCTTTTACAGAATTTGGGTTTTGCTTTTCACAATTTAATATATATTGTCATTGTATAATCGATTTCGGTATACATAATAATTAATGTACATTATCCTGAGTGTTGATAGATTCCGCTGCCTCACTCTTTCGTATATGCATAATTTATCTAAAACATAATACCTGGAATGCTCCAAGCCCTGCACTGACAGTGACTGATGTGTTTTGTCCATTGCTGCTTGAAATGTACAAACGAGGGTTTGTCATGTCTCTAGGATCATTCCCTGTGAAGGCCACCAAAAACTCCCTGCCAGAGGTACTCAATGCTGTAGAATCAAGAAACACACCTTTAATTTAGAGTGCATATCATAGTATGTCACCTCGTAAGGGGCGGTATAACCCCGACCAATTCGGTCGACCGATGATGATGATGATGCATATCATAGTATTGCTTCACAGTTATAACAAAAGAAATGCAGAAGCTGGGGAAGTGGGGATATAGTTTGCATTCATCATAATAGAAATTTAATGTTACTTCATAATGATTTGATTTATTACTTACAACATCGTATGCCGAAACGTGCTCCACTATTACACCATTGTTTATGTTTTATAACAATTAATTCCTGGAGACCATACCCTTAAACCCAGGGCATACAGGATCAAAATAAAACCCTGTCGATTAAAACAACATACAAACCTAACTTAAGTTAGTGCCACTGAGAACAATACATTTGTCCCAGAAAAATTCAAATCCTTACAACGTTTCACTGGGTTTATGCAGAAAAATGAACTTAAGCCTATTTCTTTTTCTGGATGACTTGGGATATCACTCACCTCCGGAAATACTGCTGCTTACAGTGGGATTACCCATCACACCCCCTCCTGCCAGACGGGCAGTCAGTGCCGTGAAGTCCGTGTAGTATGTTGTGTAGAGTCTGAACACTGCACTGCCGCCCATCGCACTGCAGCAATACAACATGTTTTAAATTTGTCATCAAATCAAAGTGAATTCAAACGCATTCGTACCTTGATCTACAACAGCTTCTTAGATAAACACGGCTTATCGCAAACTCCATTCTTTTAATTTCCATCTCATGTAATTAAACGGTTGCCTTGCCATCATTCCTCACAGTATTCTACTACCGCGTGTGGGGGAAATGTTAAGTAAGTCGTGTGCATGTGTAGATTATCAATCCTACTAAATAAAACAAAATACTAAACAAGTAAAATCTGAGATTTTATACCTCCGGGCTTTTTATTGTATATTTTTATATGTTGTTTGTTATGTTAACAAAGAATTTATCAAGACCGGACACCCCTCTGTGCGGGGGGTCAGCTTCATGGACCAGACCGTAAATACCTAATACACGCCAAAGGTCAACGGTCGCGACCATTTTCACACTCAAAGGGGTGTTCTGGGGCCACCAAAAGGCACCATTTCACGCCCAAAAACACATATACAATAAAAACAAAAGAACGTGCATCATCTACAGCCCAATAGCAAAACATATACCGAGTCCCAAAAGAATCCGTCCGCCCAAACGCGAGAAACAGCTGCGAACATGAAAATCTAAATCTCTCACAAAGCCCTTCCGCTGAAGGATGTCCCCGGAGGTAAAGATACACATCATTACTTCATCTACAACTTACTTTCCATAGAGGTCAACCAGCTGGATTGCCTGTATACCGGCCACACCCATCAGCTGTGTGTGCACCTGTTGAGGACAATGAGTGATAGTAAAACTACCAAGAAGTCTATGACTACAGCAGTTGTAGTAGGAAATTGGCAAACTGTACAATTTACAATTGAATTCATTCTAAAAATTAGCATTGTTGTATAGGAGTCATGTGTATTTTTACATAAACTAAGACCATGACCTTGAAGTTCCTAACCTGTTTTCTACCACTTACAGTACAAACTTGGCACTAAAAGGCTACCCTAATAAGGTTATTAAAAACGTTATCATCATATCAAGAATAGTTTCCCTAAATACAATCATCAGTATGGATTGTTACTGTTCCCAAGTATGCAACTACATTCTATATATTTTTAAAACAGCTCTACTGTTATCGGGTCTAAAAGGGTATTAAATGTTCGGAATGATCATACGATCATCGTAGTTAATGAACGTGATCGGCCGTTCTTACCGCTTTTCCTTAACTTTTCAAATGAATGAGTCTATTCTGAGTTCAGAAAGTGTTTCTGTCCGTGGTACTTAACACTTTGTGGCAGTTGTGTGTTTGAAGTTGAAATGAAATGAAATCAAACTTACAGCAGAAACTAACGTAGCCTGAGCCACAGCATAATTCAGAGTGGTTGGGTTGCGTCCGAGACCGAGTGATGAGTTCACTGACAGGCGGACAGTGGTGTACGAGGGCAGCAAATCTGGATAAATATCATAATGTAGAAATTGTGTTACAAAATCATTTACCAAGCTTAAGTACATTCAACAACCACACTGATATGGGAAGTGCCACCTGGTTGAATACACTTTTACATAAGATTATTTTATGTTTGCTCAACTCAGTTGCTGGAATACTGAGAAAGGTCTATTGCTGTGTTAGTCTTTTAACACCTATCTGAATCCATTTCACCTTACACAACTTTCATATATAAATTCAGAAACCATTTGTATGTTCTCATTGTTTTGCGTTAACTTTCTTGGACACTATACATGCAATTAGCCTTCAGGTATGGCTTTGCAAATAGAATATTTAACCAACGGGGATTAACGGGATTGTTTTATCACCACAAATGATCTGGTAATCTGATAATAAACTAAACATATTCCACTTGATTTATGCAAATGACCTACCAGGGTAGAATCGTCTTGACAACTCATTCCTAAAGCCTGCGAGTGAGTAGAAGTTGCTGACTGTGTAGACAGTGGAGGCGCTCAGTGCTATTCCCTGCAGTTCATACATGTTGGCAGATGGTCCTACTCCGATGGCATAGACAACAATTCCAGCCCTGGCGGCAGCACTAGCAGCCTGCTGAACTGAATCTGATGATGGTCCGGTTGAAAGGAGGACAAGAACCTACAGGGAGAAAGTGTTCATTCGTATTGAATCATCATAACTTACAACCTTCAAGAAAAGTAGATCTTCAAACGAGCTTCTGGAACGGACAATTACTTTTATCATTTTTCGTTATGATTATGATTATCATTGTCTTTATTGTCATTAAACGTAATGAGCAAGGTGCATGAGTATATCCTTTTTGACTTATTTTTTCAATTGACAAGCATTCCTATTGACATGATTAAGAAGAACAACTATCCCTAGTGACCACCTGTTCAGATATTATCAGTCCCATCAGTAGTCTTCCAGAGCACTTTTTACTGTATCAATGTTAAGGGTCAAGGATATGTTGGTGCATATATTATCCGCTTACAAAATTAAGTTTTCCCTAAGGACTCTATAGTTTAGAAAATGCTAGTCTGACAGCCACTAAGACACACCTTCCCAACATTCCGTCCACCACCATTTGGTGCCGAGAATCCATTCCTGACAGCGTACTGTAGAGCAGCCCCGGTTAACCTGGGGCCTGACAGTTGTCTGATGGCTGCCAGCCCAGCAGCGAGAGCGCCGTGGTCTTGGTATGTGTTCAGAGTGAACTCCTGACGGACAACACCGCCGTACTGGAAAACTGACACCTAGGGTTTAAACATTGAAACATTAAATGATTGAAAAGGTTTAAGTTATCTCAAATCAGTTTAATTCAGTTTTCCATTCAGAGAAGGCAGACGCTATATGCAGTATTTACAGGTCCATTTTACTGAGGATCAAGTAGGCCAAAAGAACAGTGGACCAAGGCCGGACCAGAGGACCAGATGCTGGACTGTTTATCACTGGACTACGAACGCTAAACATAATCAACACATTTAATACTTAATTAAATCCACTCTTCCAAAATATCAAAATGATTGCATACATTATCATGTTATGAAAAATATTATGTTGAACAATATTAATACATTTCATAAATAGCTAGCTAGAATGTTCTGTTAAACAATATCAGTATATGATCGAGAGGCGTCAATTCCCAAACCTGTGTATGTCGAGGCCCCAGTCGGAACTCCCCAATAACACTTGTCAAGAATGCCTTTGCCCTCCAAAAGCTCTGTGGAGTTACAGTGTTAGATCCATCCAACAGGAACACCAGATCCAGAGGTGTAGACACTGAGAGAACTGTATGTAAGAGATCAGTCAGAATGAAACACTGATCATGATCATGATAAATTAACCATTTCTGCTGTGTTATATACATCCGCCGTGTGTTATAGATCTCTATAGTGTATTGCATCACCAGCAGATATGTACAGTTTAGATATCAAGCACAGCATTATACTAGGGGATTCTATATAGGATATCACTTTTGGTGCATTTTTCAGGGTGGAGGATATATTTGACCTGCTGGAATTATGTGAGTATACGTTACATATGATTAAGTATCTGAACCTTCAAAGATTATACAGACGTTACAGTACATTGAAAGAATTAAAAGTTATCTAACATTCAACCTATTTCAAGTGCAACGATATATACACTGGCAGCCTTCTAAGTCTTCACCTCAAATTTAGATTCTCAATTGTACACAAACTACTGGATCCAAACTAGAAGGAAGGTAAGCTTTTACACTATCTGATAAATTGTGTGGATTTGTTTCTAGCTAGACGAAATAGTCATTGAACCCACTGCTTTGTCTTGGCATGGAAGCCCGGTAGCCAGTAACAGCCAGAGACCCGAGAGCACCATTAGTGGCAGCTCTCTGCAGCCGGCTGGACACAGTCAGGGAGTTGTTCACAGTGGCACGGTAGGTCAGACGGATCAGGGCATTCACTGCATTGGCGTATCTGCAAGGACAAATAGTAGATAACGTAAATCTGAGCTATGACTAAAATATATGGGAAGGTAATAGGTAACTTCAAAGTCAATAAATGCAATTTCAGGGCGGCACAACAAAACATTCCAGATGATCAAATCTGATATTGACATTCACTGCAATTTCTTAGCACATTTCGTCAGGCTACGTTGGGCGTACTACCCATAAATAGCTAGAAACAGCATACGATACAAACAAGCAACCGTTTTCTGTCTGTGACATAAACGTCCATATATGCATGTAAATAAATGAAACAACAATATCTATTCAGAGGCTGTGACTTTTATCCCATTTATGCATATGCAATGTGTTATTGACCCACCTGACGTTGAATTTGAAGACCTGGATAGAGTACAGCTGACAGCACAGACCCACGTTCTGATCTGTTCCGAACAGCTCAATCAGCTAGAAAAACAATGACCTCTAATATAAGCATCTTATCGGCAATTTGTGGTACACTAGTTCCTTGGTACTAACGTCTTCGATAGAATATTTAAGATTGTTTAATCCAACATGCCATTATGTGCTATTATCATATATCCCTTTGATGTCAACCAAACAAGTCCATTTCACATTGGTTATGACGCTGTAACGCCAGATATAGTTTAACAACTGGTGAATAATCATCAAAAGTGGTTCTTTATTAGAATAGGGATTATTTGGGCGACAACTCAAATCAGTTTATTAGCTGCCGCTGAACCTTGACCTGCGCGTCATCACCATCACGTGACTTCATAACATCTCTAGTAGCATTGTCGAGGAGTGCTGTGTCGTGTGCTCCACAGAGAGTTTCGCAGAGAGTTTCACAGTCAGTTCTCAGACTCAGTTTCGCGTTAGTGTTCAGCAACTCGACTTAGCGCCTTACTTCGTTCAAAAAATCGGTCGCAGTTCACACCCGACATGCCGAAAAGAATCAAGAAATGCCCAGGATGCGGAGAAGACGCGGCTCTGCACGCCCCGGGGACGGCGGGTAAGGAATGCGAGGGCCTTCCCCCATCTGGCGGCACGGAGCAACCGGAACAGGACCCAACTTTGCAGAAACTCAAACAGCGCAAGGAGGAACTGTTGCGTGCCATTGAAGTGAAGAAGATGACTCAAGAAATCATCCGCCTGGAGAAAGAACTCGCCGCGGACGGCCCGGCTAACGGTTTGGAGACGGGCGACCCGCGGGCCACCCAGACCGACGTGGAGAAAAACAAGAAGACCACATGCAGCGAAGCGGCGGCACAGACTGAGCCTGGCGCCACAGCTAAGGAAGTGGACGTGATCAACCTCGGCCCGCACGACATCACACTACAACAGCTGAAGGAGAAAAACACCCTACATGACGTGGCGCACACGAAGTACGGCGGCATCGGCCTGCTTGGTGGGGCCAAGAAGAAGTCCGACGCTAAGATTCTATCACCGGAGTCCTTCGTCTACAACCTGGAGTCAGCAGATCCCAAGAAGTATGACGATCTGACGGTGGAGGAATTCCTCTCGGGTTCTATGGCCTTACTGCAGCACCCGGGTCTGCCGGCGTGGGAGCTACAAGGCCGCTTGGCACTTCTGCAGCTTGTCTGCAACAAGTTGACAAGGTACAAGTGGTCTACCATTCGTTCCTTCCATGCCGCGGCCGCTCAGCACGCGTTGCGCAAGCCGGGCGCATGGTCCTCGGACTGGGACCAGCTGAAGGAGCTGTACTTTGACGGGGACATTTCACGGTTGAAGCCTACCAGCTCCACGGGCGGCAGTCGCGCCACGGACAAGCCGGCGGTCCCGCGCTTCTGCTGGAAGTTCGGGAAAAACGAGTGCTTTTCGTCGACCTGCAGGTTCGAGCACGTGTGCAAGTTCTGCTGGGAAAAGACCAACAGGCGGTTCACTCACACTGAGGCCGATTGCAAACGCAAGAAGTCGGATAGCAAGCAGCCCACGTCTTCGGCCGGCGACGACGACTCCATGTGACAACCCACTGGCCGCACACGCACGGGGAGCATCGCATCGGTTAGTATTGGAGACGTGCACCGAACTGTAAGTTTCGATTCTCCTTTCCCTGTGGCGGACTGTCAGCATTTAGTTAGTAGCTACGAGATTTGTTTTGATCCGGCTGTGCCGAAATGTTATTATTTAGCTAGTACACGCGAGGTTTGTTTTGATCCTCCTTCGCACAAGACTTGTTTTGATACGATCCCCCCACACGTCACGGTCGGCGGCAATCCTGCACACGTTACGGACAATGTTTCTGCTACCATATCAGATCAGAGACGTTCCGACATGACAGCTCCAGAGTTTCTCCGTTCAGGCCGTGTTCGTGATGTTTGTTTTGATTCGCTTACTGAGAATAGTTCTTTTGACACGATCCCCTCAATCCGGGGCCGGGCTCCCACGCCCGTCGTAGACAATGTTAATTGTGATACGATCACTGTTGTGTCCCAAACTGTGCCCGTCCCATTCCGTGCCTGAGCGGGCACAGAACAGGACACGGCCTGACTGTCCAGAACCGTGCCCGGAAGCGCTGTCAATCATAGTGATTGGCGGGAATCTAAGCATAATTATTCACGCCCACGATTTCTTATATGGCTAGATTACGTGAGATTTTGCGACTCTGTGTACAGCATGTGCTTTCAAAACGCAGTTTTCTCACAACTTAGTCTTATGTTTGGTCGACATGAACTTAGATAATAATATACAGAGACTAGTTACACAAGAAAGAAACTCGCTTGGGACACATATTATGAGAACTGTGTCCAGAACTGTGTGCGGTCAGGCACGGTTCTGGATAGTCCCCCGCGTGTCTCAGAATGTAGATTTTCCCCAGGCACGGTTTGGGACACGCGCCGAGTGCTCCCAAAGAGCAAGAATTACACCGAGTCCTTCTTATTCTTGCCCCGACGAAAAACAAAGATGGCGGCCTAAAACAGTAAACAACACCACGAGAAGGCTGCTCCCTCAAAACAATAAGCTCCACCCCCAAAGCACGAAATGGGACAAGGCCCTTGTGTGTCCAGAACTGTGCCCGATCAGGCACGGTTCGGGACAGTCCCCGCGTGTCCCAAACTGTGCTCAGGCCCGAGGCACGGTTTGGGACACGCGCCGTGTGTCCCAAACCATGCCAGGCACGGTTTGGGACACAACAGTTATTGTTGAAAGCGAAGTCACCGCGCCGCGGTACGTACGTTCTCCACTCGCTTCCGGGAGTAGTTCTCCCGTCACCCTTTGCGCGATCCAGTATTTCCCGTCATCCTTAGCGCTAACTTTCGCCTTAGTTTAAAATTTAGATCTTGTCCCTCGCTTGCGGCTTCGCAAGCGAGGGACGCGCCGAGTGTCCCAAACCATGCCCAAACACGGTTTGGGACAAGGCATCCGCGTGTCGCGAACTGTGCTCAGTCCCCAGGCACGGTTCGGGACACACGCCCAGTGTCCCAGACCGTGCCCGGGCATGGTTTGGGACAAGGCCATTGCGTGTCCCAAACTGTGCTCAGTCCCCAGGCACGGTTCGGGACACGCGCCGAGTGTCCCAGACCGTGCCCAGGCATGGTTTGGGACAAGGCCATTGCGTGTCCCAAACTGTGCTCAGTCCCCAGGCACGGTTCGGGACACGCGCCGAGTGTCCCAGACCGTGCCCGGGCATGGTTTGGGACACGGCCATCGCGTGTCCAGAACTGTGCTCGACCTGAGGCACGGTTCTGAACAAACACTTCGTTTATCTACAAGTTGATTTGCTCTAGTCTGTCGTGGATACGCGTCAGGACTATCCAGATCCGTGCGTGGGGTTGGTGGATAAGCAAGTGTTGTTTCCGATTCCAGGACTGAGCTTGGGTCAGTCTGCTTTCTTGGGTATACTACGTGCTATGTTGTATCAAGAACTGTGTTCGCACTCACTGTGTTGCAGAATGATACAAGACACTCTGTTTGGACACTACATGTAACTCGTAGACCAGCGTGAAATGTAAAAATGTACTTTACAGAGCAGGGAATACACCGATTCTTGCTTATTCTTTTCCCGACGAAAAACAAAGATGGCGGCCTAAAAGAGTAAACAACACCACGAGAAGGCTCCTCCCTTGAAACAATAAGCTCCACCCCCAAAGCACGGAATGGGACAAGGCCCTTGTGTGTCCAGAACTGTGCCCGGTCAGGCACGGTTCGGGACAGTCCCCTCGTGTCCCAAACTGTGCTCAGTCCAGAGGCACGGTTTGGGACACGCGCCGTGTGTCCCAAACCATGCCCAGGCATGGTTTGGGACAAAGCACGGTTTGGGACACAACAATCACCCCCATTCAAGAACGCGCCGACACGCACGTTACGGACATCGGTTTCCTGACTCCGACCCTGTCGACTCGAACACGTGGTGACTCGGCAAGTGTGTGTTTTGATATGTTTTCGTCCTCTCGGGCACGTGCTGTCACGCACGTCACGGACAATGTGAGTTTGAAACGATCCCG